AAAAAAAAAAAAAAATTTTGTAGTTGCTGAGGAAGTCCCCAGTAAGGGACGAAACGTTCAACAAGATCAAATAAATTTGTTCATCAAAATTTATTAACTGTCTTCAATTTTCCCTTTGAAACTCATATATATTATATTAACAATATTCACAAATAATCAATGTTTTTGAAGATATTTTTGAAGATATTTACAGTTTTTTAATATTAATCATCACCGTATGTAATAATTAAATAACTCTCTCTTCAAAACACATAAATARTTTTTATTTGTATCGATATTAAAACATGCGTTGTGTATATAGAAATATCCTAATATATGCCGTAAATTTGAAATCGCTGTGTTTGCGCATTGTAAATACCGACAGATTTCGTGATGTAAACTCTGGAAGTTTGTTTTAATCGCTGCGCACGCATTGAAAAAATTCCTTCTTATAATTTCTTCCCAAACGCGCCAAAAAAAGTATAACTTCAAAAAAACTCTTACATCTTGTTATACTAACGGATTTTTAATGCAACTTTGGTTCTATAAACTTTTCTACTAACTATCTTACTTTAGGAGGTATTTTGGTGACAAGAATTGGTTGATCACCCTATATATTTTCAAAAGATACTCTTTTATTTTCGTTTTTCTTTTTGAAGTTATACTGCTTTTGGCTCGTTTTGTAAACTGAAGTTAGATGCGACCGAAAAATCGACACCACGAAGTTGTCGATATCTACGCTATGCGCGGGCGGAGCGATTTCACAGTTTTTTCTTCTCTCAAGCGGTCATCACTCATCCAAATTCTAATCGTACTCGATCGCTGCTTGACTTAAATGATCGAGCAGGAACAAGTAGTGCTTTTTTTTTTTTTTTTTTTAAACGTTTATTTATTTTTACAAAGCCACAGAGTACAGTATTGTTTTATGTGTTCATAATAAACAAAAGATATAATTATAATACATTTTTTGAGACATAAAGGCCGGTTACTTGGCTCGCAACGTCATGTACAGTTATGATGCACCTAATGCTATACGACTATCCGTGATCCTTATATTAGTCCAGTCAATAAGAGGAAAATGAATGACGTTCAGGTGGCCCTATACTACAGTTTAATACAATGGTAATTCGACGTCGCTGAATCGAATGGTGCTAATTTTTTTGCAATACAATGTTGCGTTTACGAGAAAAAGGGTAAAAAAGGGTAAAAAATGGTTGTATCTTAGAATCTAGGCATTTAATCGAAAAAAGTTTTAAACAAAAGTTGTAGGTAGTTGAAAAATACATAAGAAATGTTCTAAAGTGTATCTTCGTATTTACAAAAATAAGCGAGAAAATAAAGGTGAAAGGTAATTGTTGGAGAGGGGGCAAGCCACGCCTCTACGTCAGTCTTTACAGGCGAACAAAGTAGTGTGCGTTATCTTGGGGTCTCTCGGTCGTGCGAGTGAGAAAAGAAAAGGATACTTCTCCCTTTCTATTTGTTTAGGCGGTAGCGAGTATTTTTGTTTAGGCCATCGTTTTTGTTGAGTGTTCTGTATTATATATTTTTGATATTTTTTCATGCTGTAGGGAGAATTTTTCGTCTTGGCCATCGAGTGTCGAGCGTTTTGTATACGAGTGCGAATGAGACAAGAAACCGATATTTCTCTCTTTCTAATTTTTTCCTAATGCAGCGATAATTTTTCGTTTTGACGACCGAGGTCGAACGTTCTGTATATCTATATATATATCGGCGTATAAGCGCGGCATTTTTAACCCTTTCGCTACGGCAGTGTTCTCCGTCGGAGTAACGCCGCTTTACGGACCACCGTGCCGCCGGAGTAGCAGCACTGAATAGAGCATTGCGCCGAAAAATGGTGCACATTGCGCTTACGAAAACTGGTGTACGGATTTACATTTTTCGGCGGAGCCTCGTCATCCTTTTGATCGTACGATTCTTTAAGCTTTATACAACAACATATTGGAAGATTTTGCAATTATTATCAATAAAAATGTAATTAAAAATTAAAAACAACACCTTACAATAACACATTAAAATATTTAATAATTATGTTTACAATGATAAATTTAAAAATAAAGGTCGACACACAATCCCACATCACAGTTTTTACATTCATACACCGTTTCACGTCTTCTATTGTTCGCACGGCAAACGACACCCCTTCTTCTTGGTTTGTTTTCTGGCGCTTTGTAAACCGACGGAAAATGTCGCTCGATTAATCTCAAAGGATTATTATTCCCAAATGTATGTGGACGGCTGATATTTTCATGGTACTTTTCCAGTATCTCCTAAATCAGTTGCAAATGAAATTTTACCATTGATATTGGCTGTTTCGTCTTATGTTTGTATAAACAATAAGCGTTCCAGACGCAAATGTCCACCAGAAGGAAGAAAAATTTCCGGTACCACTTCAAAGATTTGCGTGTCGAGTTCACGGTACTTATCACCATATCAGCTTTGTCTACTGCACCCATTGAATTATTGTAATCTAACACGCATACAGGTTTGTGTATAACTTTTGCTCCTCCGTTGGTGATTAACGTTTTAAATTGTGCTGTATGCATTGTAGTAAACATATATACCTCCTTCTTATCCATCCATTTTAAGACCGTTAAATTGTCGCACGATCTAAATTATGCTTCCCCCTTTTTTAATCGTTTATCAAATTTGGGCATCCCTTTTCTTCTTTTGTTGACGGTGCCGCACGCGTTTTTGCCATTATTATATAAAAACTTGAATAAAGCGGGACTTGCATACTAATTATCTACATACAGGGTATGGCCCTTTCCTAGATGCGGCTTCATGAGTGTTTCTACAATTGCTCCAGATTTTCCCATAGATGCATTTTCACTATCCACCGTTGTAGATGATCCGGCATAAATTATCAAATCTTGTACGAATCCTGTGTCACAGTCGCTCGAAATAAACGACTTTATACCAAATCGGCTTCGCTTCGATGGTATGTATTGCTTAAACGAAAGCCGCCCTTTATACAAAAGTAGACTTTCGTCTATGCATAACCGTTGACACGGTTGAAATACTTCATTAAATAATTTTCTTAACATTTCAACGACGTTTCTTCGTGGGATTACATTAATTTGATTTTCAAGATCTGAATCACTGTCCGAATCAAATAAACCATTGGAGGATTGAATGCTTTCTAAACTTCTCTGTGACATTCTAATAAGGGAGATACAAAAAGATTTGAAAAAACAAACTAAACAAAGCCAAAAATTAAATTATGAAATAAATGTCGCAAACCTTCAAAACTTAACAGCTGCGTACGTCGTACTTTTCTACAATACAAACACTTCACTTTCGAATAGCATACAGAAGAAAGTTGCTTTGACGTAGAGACTATATATATTTTCAAATATTCGCGTTTAAAATATGCCTTCACCTGGATTAATTCAAGACGTTTGAATATTACCCACTGCTAGCTTGAAGAAGACTGAAGCGTAATGCCTCTCTTCCGTCATTTTCGGAACAGTAGGAGTAATATAATCCAACGGAAAATTCGGATAAGATACACGTGTATAAAGATACCCGACCAAAGACTATACAAAAGAAATAGAGGAGAGTACTAAGTTAGGACCTTTTGGTTTTATTGCGTCAGCAAGTATTCATAGACTATAAAGAACTAATATAGCTATCAGATATAGCATCTTATTTTGAATTCCTAGAACTTGGAGTGTAGTTTATTTGATCAGCTATCCCAACTCCAAGGTCGCATCGAAGCAATTTTGTAGGATGTATCGTGGAGGAGGGAAGGAGGACAAGTACATTTTAGCCCAAAATAAGTTAATAGTCCATACTCGTTAGGCGGAATCACATCCAGATGATCCGCGCAGAATTCAATGCATTCCATAAGTTCAGCTAGTCAGTAATTCCGAGGTTACTACTAGTAATAAGCATCAAATTTAGCGTAGATCATTATACAAGGTCCAGGCACCATAATGATCTCTATTGAACGAGTAATAATAAATATTCATTTTATTACAATATTGAAGGCTATTATTTGGATTAACTCCTTTCGCCCTTACAACGCGGAAATTTCCTAAAATACATAATTTGTTGACTAAATAATAATAGTTTCTGTTAAAATGAATTATTGTTTGTCTTTTAATCAAGGTTCAGTATTTTTGACAATAAATAAAAAAACGGCGTGCCTTAAGCATCAAGATTCGATTTAAAAATGCCGCGCTTATACGCCGATATATATATAGATATACAAAACGCTCGACACTCGATCGTCAAAACGAAAAATTCTCGCTTCCGAAGAAAAAATTAGAAAGAGAGAAATATCTGTTGTTTGTCTCACTCGCACTCGTATACATAACGCTCGACACTCGATGGCCAAGACGAAAAATTCTCGCTACAGCTTGAAAAAATATCAGAAATATATAATACAGAACACTTGACAATCGATGGGCCAAACAAAAAGAATCGCTATCGCTTATTGAAATCTTATCCATTTGTTTTCTCACTCGACTCGCATTCACGACGAAGAGACTTCAAGATAACGCACACTAGCTCGCTCGCCTGTAAAGACCAACGAAGGGGCGTGGCTTGCCCCCTCTCTTACAATTACATTTCACCTTCATTTTCTCGCTTATTTTTGCCAATACGAAGATACACTTTAGAACATTTTTTATGTATTTTTCAATTCTCTACAACTTTTGTTTGAAACTTTTTTCGATTTAATGCCTAGATTCTAAGATACGGCCGTCTTTTACCCTTTTTTACCCTTTTTTACCCTTTTTCTCAAAGATCTCCTGATCCAATTGCCAAAAAATTAGCACCATTCGATTCAGCGTCGTCGAATTACCATTATATTAAATTTCGTTCGGCTAGCTAAATTTTCCAAGTTCTCCTCTTGTTGACTGGACTATTAATAGAATTGATTCGGTAATTACCCAAGATACAAATTCGCCTACCGCGAGTCGGCTGTCTCCGGTTAGAACTACGGTTAGCAGTCTGTCCTTAGATAGTATTTACAGAATACCAGCGGTGCAATTACCTCGATTTGACGGGCAGCATGAGGAATAGCCGAGGACACGTTTCAATCTGTGATAGGAAATAATTCCGTACTTCGGGATATACAAAAGTTTGCATATTTAAAATCATGCTTATCGGGAACGGCCGCGGAGAAAATAAGAGTTCTGGAAATTACCGCGGATAATAATCCGACTGCGTGGAAGACCTTAGTTGAGTGCTATGATAATCCGTTAATACTGATAAATAAGCACGTGCGAGCTATTTTGGAGGGCCCCCCGATTAACAATGAGTTTCCGTCGTCTTTAATTGCCGCGTTTGATGCTCTGAATGCAAATTATAGGGCATTAGTAGCGACTAAAAAAGTGTTTGTCGATCAATTGGCTATCACCGTACATTTTTCACGAGTGGATCCAGCAACACGTCTTCAATGGGAACAACGGTGTTCCCGAGATGCTTTACCGACGGTGGACGAGTTTGTGGTATTTTTACACGATACGGGAAATACGCTAGTAAGCGCCACGCCGGCAGAAAAGCCGAGGAGGATTGAAAATAGCAGAAGGATCGCGCTATTTGGACCTGAGAGAAATTTTCGTTTAAGGAAATAGATGTGTGACAAGCCGCGTTGTAATTCTCCGCGAAATTGGCCGCGTTGTAATTCTCTGCGAAATTGGCCGCGAAGTACCGACCAAAGATAAGTTCAAGTGTATTTCTTGAGTGCAACCATCTCGTGCGGTATATGCCGCGAGAGGCAATCATTCATCGGAGTGTGAGCTGTTACGAAGGGCCGAGCCTGAGGAGCGCAAGAGAATCGTGGTTAACGCCAATTTGTGCTTGAATTGTTTTCAAGCTGATTATAAGTTTGCACATGTATTAAGAAAGGCTGCTGCATAAAAGTGCAAAGGCAGCCATTGTGAGCTGTTACATGTGAAAGAGGCCGTTGCAGAAGGTGCAACGGTGGGCATCACGAGTTTGCGTATCCAGGCGGTATCGGACGTGCATGATGCACATGTGAAGCTCAATCACTCGCGTGCACTTACGCTGCTGCGGCAGTGGTGCATTTGCTAGATCTTGATGGCATGCCACACGGGTGTCTTGTACTCTTGGATTCGGGTTCCGAAGCGCATTTTTTAATGATTTATTGTCGGGAATTTTGTACGAATATTCAAGCAAGTCATGGACGTACCAATATTTACTTTGAAATCGCGAGCAGGAAATTGCGGTAGAATTGAAAGTTTTATTATTACCAGCTGTAACGAGTCGGTTACCCTCGCAACGAATTTCGCGAGAAGAGTTAGTTATGCCGGCAGGGATCCATTTGGCAGATCACAAATTTCATGAGACCGCGACTATCGACGCAAGTCTCGGTGTCAATATTTTTACATTACTATGACGCTCAGATCAGAGCATTAGATTGAATGAAAGTTAATGGCACCAGGAACTGTGTCAGGATGGCTCGTTATGAAAACAGTTGCCGCTCGTAATTCGCGAAGCGTTAACTGCTACACAGATACAGTAGAATTGAATTAATTTTTGGAGAAAATTGGGAAAATTGAAGAATTAACTAAGACAAGTATTAGGTCACACGAGGAAAATTTGTGCGAAGCGCATTATAAAAGCYACACGCGACGGGATGATACAGGCAGATGTGTGGCAAGGCTGCCATTCAAGGAAGAGAATTAGTTAGGCGATTCGTACGCGAGCGCGTTGCGAGGATTTCACGCGGTGCGAGGATTTCACGCGTTGCGAGGACTTCACGTGTTGCAAGGATTTCACGCGTGGCGAAGATTACACGCGTTAACGCGGTTATTGTCGGGCGAGCCGGAAATTAGAAATGAATAAATTAAATTCTTATCCGAATACGAAGAACTAGGTCAAATGACAACGATAGAAGGGGGACCCCACAAAGATACATTCTATTTACCGCATCATGCTGTATTAAAGCATACTAGTCTTACGACCAAATTGCGAGTAGTGTTCGACGCGTCGCCAAAAAACCAGCAACGGGAAATCTTTGAATAAAGTATTAATGGTTGGTTCGACTATGCAGGAGGATCTGTTTACATTTTTAGTAAGATTTAGATCACGCGCTATCGCTATTACCGCGGACATCGCGAAGATGTATCGGCAGATAATAATGGACCCGCGCGATCGCAAATACTAAACTATACTCTGGCGTCGACAGGAAAAAGTTAGCCCGTGTAAGCATATAGATTAAATACAGTAACTTATGGAACCGCCTCAGCGTTGTTCTTAGCAACGCGTAATTTACATCAACTCGCCAGCGACTAATTTCACCGATTCCCGAGAGCTGCCATCGTTCTTAAAGAGGATTTCTATGTAGACGACTTGTTAGCCGGAGCGCGTACGGTTAGGGAAGCAAAGCGAGTCCGCGACGAATTAATAAGGATAACCGCAGAGGCAGGCATGCATTTTCGGCAATGGGCGTTAAAGTGCGCCGAGATTCTAAAAGACTTAGATACCACAGATAATAACATCGTAAATTTAGATTTGTCAGGCACGATAGAAACATTAGGTGTTAATTGGAAACGCGGCCGAAGATAAAATAGGCTATACGGTAAAGCGAGCCGTTGCTATGGCAATTAAAATCAACGTGGGAGAAAAGGTCTCAGCTCAATATATATAAAATATGGCAACAGTTTCGCCAAAATCTCCACACGCTTGAGGAGAATAAGACTCGCGTGTAGCATAACGTGTAACGGAAAAGTATTGGAAATGCCCGATTTTTACGGCGCGAGCTTTAAGAACTTTTTGGCGCATTAATACTCCTATGAATTGTTAAAGCGGCTAATTCTGTTGATTCTGCGAACGAATTAGAGGCTCGCGTGATCGCGAAGCTTAGTTAATGAAAGATTCAAGTGGCATTTTATCTCTCCCCACTACCTCATTTTGGCGGTCTATTGGAGGTGGCAAGAAAATCTTGTAAGTACCATCTAGTTAGTCTAGTTAGAATTGTTAGCG